TATGGACGTTTGTGTGATAAAGTTTTAACCTTATGTATTATGGTTTTTTGGAAGTGTACCTAACAAATAATGGATTGTTGAGAACCATTACCATTCAAAATTCTTGTTTTCTCCATACATTTTCGGAAAGAAAACTATATTAGATTAGAACCTTTTTACTTATGGTTTGAGAACTTTAATGGTAATGGTTTTGGTAGTCAGTAAGGTTCATGGATGGTTTTGTAACATCGATCAACTTTATGAATATATCGCGAAAAAGTTGCCGGTTAATAAATGATTACAGGGCTGGTAGCAAGTCACTTTTTAGTTACTTGATCACTTTTTTCAAGCCAGTCACTAAAAAGTCTCTTTTTTAAGACCAAGTCAACTTTTTTTTAGCGTGAATGTATTTCAAGATTGATCATTCTTTGCTATGTGGCGTTCAATCGTCTTTCTCTATCTACAGGGTGTCTACTCATTTTTCTAAATAGCATTACCAGAGCTTTCCAAATTTTTCCAGTACTTTAACGGATAAATCCCAGGTATATAATAAGAAAGCTATTTTTTTTTAATTCATTAATTTTTTTTTGGTAAATCAAAAACAACAGCAATTAACCCAAACTTTTTAAGACATGGCACTCAGTTTTAAAGAAACTCCATTCAAATCCATTGAATGTTGAAGTTTAACAATTACTACAGTTTAACATCTACTTCTCACTTAATAAAGGTAAAAAACTTATTTAATTTGAGTAAGTCTAAGATCTAATTTTTTTCAATATCTTGATGTTTCGTATTCCATGTTCAAGATATTGAAAATTTTTAAAATGCCAGAATCAAGGAAAAAAATAAATAATTTATTTGAAGTTCGCATGTGGTAGGAGCTTCGGAGATGTTCTGAGTAATGAAAAGAAATGCTGAGAATTTCAGTGAAGCTTCATAAACAAACTGCGGGAACATAAAAGATTTTAACACGCTGAAAATATGGGGAACTTACTGGAAGCGGTTCTTTTAGCATCCGAAATTTTTCGAGAACTTTTATGAAATTTGTAGAATTTCAGAAAACATCACAGGTGTCAAGCGAACTTGAGTAATATAGAAAACATTAGGAGTATTGTGCAAATTTTTAAGAAGTTCTAAGTACCTCAGAAAAGCTAGATCTAGAGATTTTTGGGAAACTTCAGATCTTAAGAGTAGTTTGCGTAGCTTTATTCCAGACTTTTGGAGCAGTTTAAAGATCTCGAATCGTAAATTTAGAGAAATTCAGGATAGTTCCATGATGTGATGAAAAAAGTCGAGAACCTTTAAGATAATTCAATTTTCTTTTAGTTTTCCTCAGAATTACCTTGAAATTCTCCACAATAAAAAAAACCCTTTGGAAAAATTCTCCGAATATTCATTGAATTCATTCCAAATTTCCTTTTGAATCTCACTCCTTCCCTTGGAATTATACTCACATTGAAAGTCTCCTAAGAATTCAGTGGCATGTCTCCTAACAAATTCCTTAGATTTCTTCTCATAATTTGTTTGGCAAACCCTCCTGAATTTGTTTTCCGAATTCCTTTGAAGATGTTCTGGAGTTATTCTCAGATTGAATTGTAATCCTCCTTTTAGTATTTTCAAAAAGATTCCAAGGACTTATGCTCCGGATTCGTTTTCTTCCACAACTTTATAAAATTATCCTCAGAAGGTCCTTGGAATTTTGCTCTGAAGGAGTTGTGCTCCTCAGAAATTTTCAGAGTTTTCGTTAAAATTTGCTTTAAATTCAATTCAGGGTTCCTTGAAATTTTACTCAAAACTTTCAGGCTTCACAAAAAATCTAAAATTCTTCAGAACTAACTTAAAAGCATATTCCATTTGGTGTTTTTCTGAAAGTTGTTTTTTTTCTCAGAACTTCCTTGAAATGAGGCACTTAGAAATTATAATAAATTTCTACGAATTTTTAAAACTGTGCATGGATTTTTAGTCTAGATTCTTGAAAATTTCTTGAAGTATTGTAGCTTTTAAGTCCAGAACTAGTTCAAATTAAAAAAAATCTTGGAAATATGCATGTTCCAAACCTGTTTTTTTTTAAATACAGTCCACTGTGGATCTATAAAGTTCAAAGTGTGAATGTAAATAACGAGAACCATTAAAAGCTTTTCTTTAATAAGGATATTTAAAGAAAATTATTAGTAAATTCTCTGAGCCTTCCAGGTATTTTAAGGAAAGTGAAAATTTCCTGAGGATTCCCGGTTTTCCAGGTTTTTGCAGTTAGTAGACACCCTGACTAATACGTGGGTTTGGCCATAACTTTCTATTTAATCTTTCGTTTTAAGGGTTCTTATCGTACATAAGTGTTTATAAGATACTTGTTGAATGAGTCTAATACATCAAACATTTATTTTCTCTTAGGTCACTTTTTAGTCACTATTTTTACAACTATAAGTCACTATTTGGTCACTTATTTCTTCAACATGGTCACTTAAATCACTATTTTTGACAGCATTGATCGCTACCAGCCCTGTGATTACCAATTCGCGATATATTCCACGTAAAGTTGACCGACAATACAAAACCATCCATAGACCTTACTGACTACCATAACCATTACCATTAAAGTTCTCGAACCATAAGTAAAAAGGTTCTAATATAGTTTTCTTTCCGAAAATGTATGGAGAAAACAAGAATTTTGAATGGTAATGGTTCGTAACAACCCATTATTTATAAGGTTCACTTCCATAAAAGCATAATAGGAGAGATGGCTCTAATGTTGGAGTATGGATCTAAGATTGGGTCCATCCCTAAAAAATCTGCTATTTATCAATTTTATCTAGATGAACACGTCATTGGGACGGTACTAATGGATATTTTTGGTCACTATTGATAGAGTCGGTGTATAATGAGTCACGCCAAGAGAAAAACAGTTGAACTCGCATCACGGTTTTCGAAGGATTCCCTTTCTTTTCACTTGGCAACAGAGGACTTCTACATCAACTTCAAATGACTTCTAGCTAGAACAAAAAATTGCGGCTGTAGTGAATCATTATATCAGTGATTTTGTCAAATTATCTTATCAAACAATAGTAGAAATTCTCATTACTGATCATTAGCAAACGTGTCCCATGACAATTTAATGCTCACTGCGTGTTTATGATCATTTCTTCAATTTTATTTTATATTTTATTGCAATACCTTTCGTGGACCTTTCATAGCATCGTAATGTTTGTTTACTTTGTACAATAGGTAGCCGGTTTGACAGTTCAATAGGTAGACTTGGCTTCACTCTTGGCGTGACTCATTATACACCGACTCTAACTATTGAAAATTTAGTCGATTGCTGAATTTATGTAAGGGCCCAAATTAGGGACATTTAGGCCGACATTACATCCCCTACATAAGCTTAAAACTTTATCACACAAACGTTCATGTAAGGTTCCATAACCGTTTCAGTTAAAGTTTAGCAGGGATTATAAACAATGTTTAACCATTTTTGGTAAGGTCAAGTTATGGTTCGCGTTAATGCGGGATATTTTGGATTTGACAGCCACACATCCCGTTGGATTAAATACCCGTAAACTTCTTTTAAAAGATTCTTAAAGAAGCATACGGTTCATACGAATATTTAACTTTCTTCACTTGCTCGGCGTTACGCTCCTTAAAAACACGGACAGGTCAACGAACCTTAGTAGCTGCGCACCCGGAGACAGGATTTGCTTAATTTAGTGTTTTTCAAAGGTTTAGGGAGTATTTCAGCATTCCAAAAGTATAGGTCCCCAACGCACGGTTCATGTCCATCATTTTCATTTGCCGTTTACTTAAGAGATACATATTTTACTTATTCCAGGCACGACAACATGGAAAAAAGCCCAAATTTGGAACGAAAGACCCGATTGGAATCGCATTTTTTGCTGTTCCATCTCGTCGACCACGGCCCGCCCGTGTACAGTTAGTTTGATTATCGAATCGCAGTAGTTGCTTGTTCCACAGTATTTTGTAGGTTGTAGCCTAATTGTTTTCATCTCTCATCTGCATGCGGAAATTCATCATGAAACGCGTCAACAATGTTGTCAGCCAGGATTGGATCGCATCTTGATGACGAATGTCATGCAAATCCTGGAAATTCCATTCCCTCAAGTCATCGTTCGCTCGGTCACGGCCACTTGACTATGAAGTACAAGTGCAACATCCATTGTATTGTCGTCAGTCAGTCAGTCAATACATGACTCCATTTAAAACATCATTGATGCTTAAATACGCTGCGATTATTGTTCATTATGTATGCATCATATCGCGCAAAACACCTATTAGCAGCGGGGTGCCGCGGTATCATCAACACAACACACCTCTAGACGAGCAAATCTATCTATTTGTGTGTTATTGCTGCTATACCTACCGGGTCCAGAAACGTGGTAACATCATTTTAGCATTCGGTGTACACTCCTCATAAGAAAGAAGCCAAAAGAAGCACTCCAACAAATGGGTTTGTTGCGCTTGTTGGCCTACAAATCGTTGACCTTGGCCGTGGAAATCACCGCATGAAGGTTAATTCGATGCGACTTCCGGTGTTCTGTTTCTTTAGGGGAATGTGGCCAATACTGAGGCAAATGTTACTTTTTTTAAATCAATACAAATAAGAGCCATAGTCTGTACGGGGTATCAGTTGGTACATTTATTAATTTATATGATTTTCTATATCAATGAAACCCGAATGATGGTTTGCTTTTTCAAAAAAAAAAAGTCTTTGGACAACATTGAGCCTGTCGATGTTGACAAACAAAAAAACAAATAAATATGTCAAGTAGATGACCCATCTGGCCCCCCTTACCCTTACCTCACTATCTAAACAATCAAAAACAAATTTGAATCGTTATGTACCCTTCAGCTAAGGTTTTCCTTGTTCAAGCTACAAGCTCTAGGTTAGTTAGTTTTATTAATTCTGAGTCATCTCTATTGAGTATGCTATTGTACCGAGTTCTTCTGTTAAACGTTAAGACTTCAACACAATTGGCTCAATCCATCTCTCTATTGTCCTTTAATTGTAGCCCGGACTCGATGAAGTCGTCAAGGAATGCCGAAACCGGAACCTGTTCTTCTCAACCGACATCGAATCGGCCATCCAGGAAGCAGAACTAATCTTCATCTCGGTCAACACACCCACCAAAACGTACGGCAGTGGACGCGGTCGGGCGGCCGATCTCAAGTACGTCGAGGGATGTGCCCGTATGATCGCAGAGATGTCTCAAAATAGTAAAATCGTTGTCGAGAAAAGTACGGTGCCAGTGCGCGCAGCGGAAAGTATTATGCACATTTTGAAGGCCAACCATAAACCAGGTAGTTGGAAAATTTGCTGGAATAAGCTGTAATCTTATAATATAATTTCGTTATTATTTTTCGGCAGGCGTAAAATATGATATTCTATCGAATCCTGAATTTTTAGCCGAAGGAACGGCCATCGAAGATTTGCACAAACCAGATCGAGTGTTGATTGGTGGAGAAGAGACTCCCGAAGGAAAGGCTGCGATCGAGAAACTCTGCTGGGTATACGAACACTGGATTCCGAAGAAGAACATTTTGACCACCAATACGTGGAGCTCTGAGTTGTCGAAGCTAGCTGCGAACGCTTTCCTCGCTCAAAGGATATCTTCCATCAATTCACTATCGGCCGTGTGCGAAGCTACCGGAGCCGATGTTTCCGAGGTTGCCCGTGCTGTTGGTCTCGATTCGAGAATCGGCCCCAAATTCCTGCAAGCATCCGTTGGATTTGGCGGCAGTTGCTTCCAAAAGGACATCCTTAATCTAGTGTACATTTGCGAGGGCCTGAATCTCCCTGAAGTTGCTGCCTACTGGCAGCAGGTGATCGATATGAACGAATATCAGAAAAATCGATTCTCGCAAAAAATCATCGAATGCCTGTTCAACACAGTTACCGACAAGCGGATATCGATTCTAGGATTCGCATTTAAGAAAAATACCGGTGACACTCGGGAAACTCCAGCCATCACAGTATGTAAGACACTGCTTGACGAAGGTGCCCAGCTGAATATCTACGACCCGAAAGTGGAACCAGAGCAAATCATAGCTGACTTGACGCATCCCAAAATAACCGAAAGTCCCGGACACGTCAAAAAGGTGGTTCAAATTTTCTCCGATCCCTATGACGCAGTGCGTGGCACCCATGCTATCGTGATCTGTACCGAATGGGATGATTTTATTGTAAGTATGGTTTCCTGTTGCTTGCAATGACCGACTGAGTTCTGATGGTGGCAATGGGTTTGCTTGGTACTTTTAAGAAAGGGAGCATATTGTTTTGGTGCGTGCATTCTGGTTTTAATCAAACTGTTTGAGATATCTCTTCAGTCAGTTCTGGATTAGTTTTCGGATAAGGGTCCGCTTTGAACGCTATAGCATTGGTTCAGCAAAACCTCCCATCAAACCTCTCATTTTAACCTTGTCTTCGTTGCCTTGCTCTCACGTTTAGCAATATATTGCTTTTCAGAATCTCAACTACGAGCGCATTTACCAGTCGATGATGAAGCCGGCCTACATCTTCGACGGTCGCAAGATTCTCGCGCACGAAAAACTCCAGCAGATCGGCTTCCACGTACAGACCATCGGCAAGAAGCTGAATCGCAACATTCAGACCCGGTCTTGGGGAAGCATTCCACAGCTATAGACGCAGGTACCGGCATCTACCAACTGACCAGGTAAACGAACCATACACATACATCTCATCAGCATTACTATTGTAGGTAGTAGATTTCTTGCGAGTTTAAATAGATGACACTAGTAAAACATGTGAACATAAGTCCTTTACCTATTTATAAACACCCAGAACAAGCTATTTAAGCGAAACGAAGTATTACGATTAAGGCCGGAAAAGTTTGTAAACATTTTCCCATTTGCGATATTTCACACGTGGTTCAGATAGGTTCGTAACAAACTTGCCCCGGAGGTTCGTATATCATAAGAAACGTTGCGTACGAAATAATAGCAATACAAAAAAAGATATGAAACATGTTTTCTTCACAGGGTAAATTACGTCTTCGTTAGTTACTATTCTTATTAGAAGATATCATTTGACCAACATCGGTAGCTTGATTAATTTATTTACTCCCTGAAAGTAATTGGTACAGGAACTATTGAAGACGAGAAATACCCGAGATCCATTGAAGCACAATTTATGTTAAGAACATTGCTGCAATATCAAAAGAGCACGTTACGTGTAGGTTTTCTATTGATCATAGAGTTATTATATTGCCTAGTATATTTTCCTATGTATTTCATTCGTACGTATGTGACAATGGCGCAGTCGAATCAATTTTATTTGTTAGAATCTAGAAGAAGAAGTTGATACAAAATATTTCCCTCGAACGGTCTTAAACTCTCACTCTGCGCCAATGGTATGTGAACGTATTATTTTCAATTTTCCTTTAGTTTAAATGTATGACTAGAGTAGGAGAGTTATTTTTCACTCAAAAAATACATTAAATTCTAGTTCACAAAGGAAGCGTTTTCTGTTCTAAAACAGCCGAACATTTCTCCACAATAAACAACAGATGACAAAAAATCTCTCTAATTCGAAAGCAAAGCGAGTATATAGGAAAAGATCTTTGGGGTTTTCGGGGGTATCGAATAAAGGTTAGTTGACTGTAGTCGATTTAATTGTGTAAACACTCCGTACCTTGTGTCAAAAAAACGGGCTACAAAATGGAGTGTTGATAACCTGGAAGGAGCGTGGTACCTAGCTCCGGTCCTCAAAAGCCCCCACCTCACGCCTCCACGAGTCATATGATTACAAACGACTACCAGCTGAAACATGGACACAGCTGGGTGGCGTAGCCCGGGGCAATGTTGCCAATCCGACAATAGTAAAGTGAGGAGGTGCGGCGCGAACACTGGCACGATAACCGAAGCACGGCGTTAGAGAAAATACTTCGCCAACCCGAGCGTCCACCACGGAGGACAGAAGCCAACAGAGAAAGAATACAAAGAACAAGAATTGGACCTAGACGCACATGGAGGTGCCAAGGTGTAAACTTCAAATTTGCTATTATCGTCGTCGTTGGCAGTACAATTCGTATTTTTTAAATTAACCATCAACCGTAGAAAATACATGAATTATAGCGTATCTTAATCGTTCGTTACATACCAAAAGAGAACTTAATCGTACTTTGACGCCAAGCGCTGAGATGCCCGATGACCCTGGAGGGATCATTTTTGCTTACTGAGCAGAAAATCATGAATTTAACCCCAAGCTCTTCCACAGCAACGTAATTTGTATATTTAAGATTAACCATCAATCTCGGAAACTACTTGCATTATCGCATATTTCTGTCGTTCGTTACATACCAAGCAAAAACGTAGTCACAAAACGTTATGGTTCTGAGATGCTCGATGACCGTGGAGGAATCGTTTTTGCTTACTGAGCAATAAATTATGGGTTTAATCCCAAGCTCTCCATCATGACTCTTAAAATGCATGATCACTAAACAAAATGTAGATTTTATTTCGCTAGTCAGCTATTGAGAGATTAAATTAAAAACAACACAAACAATATACAGTACTTGTTCGCTAACTGGGCATAAATAAGAAATGTAATGACGTGGGGATTTCCTTCTTCACATCCATATAAATACCGCGTATCCCTGTATATACCTCAAAGCACAGATCAGTTGGAAATTTTTCCCGGATGATGCGTTTAATTTTTCCATATTTCCCCAGCACTTTATCCAGCTCGTTGTCGGGTACCTCTGGTGGCAAGTCATACACACGCACATATTGGATGAATTCACCAGCATGCGACATGCGTACCTTTGCCGTCGTTCCATTCGCATAATGGAATATTAAATCCTCCGAATTGTATGTCAGAGCATGGAGCATCGCTTCTTCTGATTTGAACTTCATGAAGACTCCCCTTTCCTCACCAATGCGATAAACAGCTTCCATTTCAGCCAGATCCGCGTCGAGTGCTTTGGCGAAATTTACAATCTCTCCGATGTTTGGTTTAGCATCACCATGGCTGAAGCTAAACTTGATTGTGTTTTTTACTTCACACATCTTGCACCGTAGCAACAAAAGGCACCGAACTGCTAGCAACTATATAATAGCGAGTCTCGAAAACAGGCTATCGCGTGGTTCACACCGATAGTGTGAACTCTAAAACAAAATTTTAATTCAAATATCTTAAAATGCCCTTATCCGAGTTTTGAAATTTGTTTTCTAAAAAAAGCTTATGAAAAATGTAATCTTCTGTTCAAAACCATGGACCCTTGAAAACTGACGTAAATCGTAGAACAAGTTCTTTTGGTAGTTTTTTTTTGTAACTTTTTCTCAGTTAGCTTTTTTGTGCATTTTTTTTTCACAGAAAATGATTTAAAATGTCTTAAACATTGTTTTCTGAGTATAAATTACAACAAAAAGTTTATAATTTAACGTTTCTTGTCAATTTTTAAGTGTCCATAATTTTAAACAATCCAAAAGTTTACATTTTTATGAGATTTTTTTTTTAAATCGGACAAAGACGTTTTGCGATATATAGGTTTTGATTTTTTTTTTACGTAGGATTACGTCATTGGGCAACATATTGCGGGTGCAATTTCAAAAAACCAAAATTGACCGCATTACGAAAACTGGTCAGGTTTTGACCTCATATAACTCTGTCAATAGCGGGTCGATTTTAATTCTAAACAAGTCAATCGATTAAAAAAAATGCTACAAATCTGTTAAATTGAACAATTGATTAATTTTCAATAGGTCACTACTGAAAATTACACAAATGTTCAACTGTTGCAATAGTGATCAAAATTATCACCGATTGCCTGCAAACAGTGCATTCCCTAACACAGATTTCAAAATCGAATTCGATCCTGTCTCCCTGAACGGTGCTTATTTAATCACCGTGTGTGATGGTGTCCGATCGGTCGTCGTCATCAGCAGCAGCAATGCTTTCGGCGCGTAGCGTTGAACATTGTACACAACGAAAGGCTGCCCGCAAGCAGCGAGCTGCAGCCCACATGAGCGTCAATTCACCGAAGAAGGAGGAAGAAGCCTCACCGCTACTGATCGGGATCCATCTTCGTGAGTCACTGTGGGCCATCTATGCCAAGCGCGTCACCCTCGTTCCAAACAACATACAGCTCGCCAGCCTCATCCGTGTTGTACACCCTAATACCTCAGCATTACTCAACCTTCACGACAAAACGGTCTTTTTCAGGACCACTATAAATTTGATAAAGAGTATTTTTTGGGCATTTGTCAAGGCCATTAACCGGATGTCAGTTCCCATATGTTAAAATCTAACATACCATATATTTTTAAGGCAACATTGGCAGCGCAATTTCAGAATCCAAAGTCGGTCGCGGCATGAAAGTGGTCTGATTTTGATCCAGAGATGATGGATTTTAATTCTGAATACGGAAATCGATAGGAAATTTTTCTACGAATCTGTTAAAATTAAGGATTTGTCATTAATGAAAATGTCACTATTGAAAATTGCACGAATGTGCAAGTGTTGCTATGATCATAAAATGGTCACCGATTGCCTGTGAAAAGCGCTTTCCCTAACACAGATTTCAAAATTGAATTCCATCCGGTCTCAACGAACGCTGTTCACTCAATCACCGCGTGTAGTGAGCAGTGCTGAGATTTGTCATTGTCGTTGACAGACTTTCGCGCGATATTGACAAAATTGTTCGTCACATAGTCACTGACAGACTTGATCCTCAAAAAAACCTTCGTCAAAATCTCATTCATTTTTTCGTCAATGACAAAGATTCACCTGGTAACAAAAAGTGTAATTTAGTACATTCTGTGCCACATTATTGTTATCCAAGTAGCTCAGGACGTAGATACTTGTTCACTAAAATGGATCCATGTGATTGTTTTGCTCAAGTCATTTAATTTCGTAACAAATTTAGCTAATAAACAAATCCGCACATGTTCGTCACTGACACCATTGTCATTGACAATTGACATGGTTTGCCTTGACTATGACTGTTAGCTCAAATGAGTGACCAAAGCAGAATTGTCAATATCACCGTGTACCGTCGAGATTTTGCAGCACTGGTAGTGAGTGTTGGTGTTCTCCAGTATACAACGGAAGGCTCCCCGCAAGCAGCTAGCTATCAAGGCTGCCCTCAACCGGAGATCGGATTCAGATGCTCGTCGTGAGCCGCTGTGGGTCATCTATGCTATACCCCGTTCACATTACAGCCTATATCACGTAAATAGACTGTCTTGCAATGAGCACTCATACATAGGATTTACAGTGAAAACTAGATGTATGAGTGTTCATTGCAAGACAGCGTATATCACGTGATATACGCTGTAATATGAACGGGGTACTAAGCGCATCACCCTCGTTCCAAACAACATGCAGCTCGTCAGCCTCATCCGTGTTGAACGCCCTAATAAGCTCAGCATTATTCAACCATAACGACAAAACGGTTCTTTTCAGGACCAACATAAATTATTGTTGTTTAAGAGCTAATATTTATTGAATTTTCGCTCGCCTTGCTGCTAGCCACATCACCCCCAAAGCTCTTTGATAATGTAACCATGTCAAATAATCAATTCGAAACGATTCATCTTACGCATGAGATAAGGTATTTAAATTTTATGTAATAGTTAAGAATTGACAGAATTTCCCCTACATAACTACCTTGGGTTGCTCAATGTTGAGTTATTTTGCTGTGATCAATGTACACTAAATTTGACATCGACATCGACTACAATAAGACCTGACACTATTTCGTCACACATTTTCTGTTGATTTGCAACTCAGTATAGTACCCAAAAACGCCATGCATGTTGTGGGATAAAACAATTGCAAAAAAACATTTGAGAGAAGAGACAGTGTGCTTTCCGCTTCCTAATTTCGTACCTCTCTCTGGGTTTAGACAGGGCAAATCAATTGATCAAGTCAGTTGAACTCAACTGACTTGAACGCGAATTGAACGTGTAAACCATGTCATTCAACTGACTTGATCAACTCACTTGAATTGAAAAAAGTTGGACCAGGCTCAACTTTTCAAGCCAATTGAATTCAACTGAGTTAATCATTTGACTTGCCTAGTCTAAACCCAGCTTTATGCTAAAACTGCCTCTACGTCGCACACATCATGGAGCATACGGTGTGATTTGCGGACTGCAGAGAATATTCAACAGAGCATCTGTTTTCGACTTTCATCTCTCCCGTGATGCGCTTTGTCGAAAGTTTTCTTCTGTTTTTCGCCGGCAGGAGTAACTGACTATAAGATATGTGTTTTTTATGTTATGACCATGTTTGAATGTATTTTTTTTACTATAGCTGATAAGCTTAATATCATTGAGGCTTCATCTAGCCTGTTGATGTAAAACAACAATAAACAACAAACAACAATAGGTACTAACACAAATGTTCCCTCCCGTGGCATCTATGAAGGTAGTATAGGTTCCCTGCACCTTCTTAAGTAGATGTTGAACTAATTTCCCTTCCTATCCCTTGCAATTATTAGGATGTGGCCAGGTGTATAATTCGATGCTTCATTTGCAGATTTTGATGTGTGGGAGAAAACACTAGTCCCAAGTGTTTTTTTCACGGCAACAGACGATATTTCCTGCAACATGTATTGGTTGACCATTATACCTATACTTATACTGTGCTAAATGTGAATCATTGCCCATAACAAGCAATTAAAGGGTGATACGGTCAAAATTTGGTCAAGGGAAAACGCGTGTAAATCGGTGAAATCGTTTATTTAAAAAATCAAATTAAATTTCTTTTTCAAGTTCAATTAGTATAAAATTCAGGAAAAATATTCAGTTAGGCTTCCGCTTTTCCAAATCCGAATTGCCGGGCCTTACGCTTGACCCCTGCCATCAGATTTTGTACAGCCACCTTGTCCACCTTCTTCGCCGCAGAAAGCCAGTTTGCCTTGAACTGCTGCTCGCCCTTAGCAGTTTTTTTGGTCTTCTTTAGGTTCCGCTTGACAATAGCCCAGTATTTCTCAATTGGGCGGAGCTCTGGCGTGTTGGGAGGGTTCTTGTCCTTGGGAACCACCTGCACGTTGTTGGCGGCGTACCACTCCATGGCCTTTTTACCGTAATGGCAAGATGCCAAATCCGGCCAAAACAGTACGGAACAACCGTGTTTCTTCAGAAAAGGCAGCAGACGTTTATTCAAACACTCTTTCACGTAAATTTCTTGGTTGACAGTCCCGGAAGCTATGAAAATGCTGCTTTTCAAGCCACAGGTACAGATGGCTTGCCAAACCAGATATTTCTTTGCGAACTTTGACAGTTTCATGTGCTTGAAAACATCTGCTACCTTTCTCCTTCCTTTTGCCGTATAAAACTCCTGTCCCGGAAGCTGCTTGTAGTCGGCTTTGACGTAGGTTTCGTCGTCCATTACCACGCAGTCAAACTTCGTCAGCATCGTCGTGTACACGTACAGCCTCCGGGATCGCGCTTTGGCCGTCGTATTTTGTTTATCATCGCGATTTGGAGTCACTACCTTCTTGTAAGTCGATAGTCCGGCTCGTTTTTTGGCTCGATGCACGGTTGTAGACGATACACCCAGCTTATTTGCGGCATCTCGGAGAGAGAGGTTAGGGTTTCGCTTGAAACTACCGGCAACTCTCTTTGTCGTCTCAGCGGCTTCCGGTTTTCGATTTCCCCCCGATCCAGACTTCCTGGCTGTCGACAAACGTTCCCCAAACACTTTAATTACATTTGTAACGGTTGATTTGGCAACTTTTAGCGATTTTGCCAACTTTGCGTGCGAGTAGCTCGGATTTTCGCGATGCGCGAGCAAAATTTTGATACGCTGCTCTTCTTGCTTGGACGGCATTTTGACAACTGAAGAGTGAATTCCAAAATCAAAATAGGAGCAACATTCTTCACACACACACCTTCAAAATGAGGGGTGTTCAGGGTTTTAAAAAGCAAAATTGAAAGAAATACGTCAAGTTGATATTGACCAAATTTTGACCGTACCACCCTTTATGCATCGTTTCATGCCAATCGGAGAGGGTCGAGTTTTTTCGATTCATCATTTGGCGTGGAGCTGCTTAATTTTACCCCAAATTAAAATTGTCGTAGCACGGCGATGTTCCAATGGATTTTTGAAACATCAAATGTTTTGCAAAGTAAATTGAGTGCACTATAAGTTAAAACTATCTCTCTTGGGAATCTCGCTGCTAACAATGTTCAACGAGTAAATGGAGCTACCTATGCCGCTATTGCAGCTGGTAGAAATCAAAATTCTAACGGAAATTTTAATAATTTAATTTTTTTTATAATACTGCTCCTAAAATGGAATTTTTACAAAAAATATTAATTGACATGATTATTGATAGGGTTTTTGATCTAATTTCCGTTCTACTAAGCACAACCCGCGCTTTGCCTCTCTGTTTTGAATGGGTTTGAACAAAAATCGGAATATTTCTGTCAACGATGAATGCTAAATTTATTCACCTTTCCATACGATTTGGATTTGATAAAGAGTCACAAATTGTTGAGATATTGTTAGAAATCTAATACTGCTTCTTGATTCTAAATTCGTTCTACGAGTTTCAATTCCGTCGTCTAACGCATTGAAACGCCATTAAATTTTCTTCGTCCTACGGATAAACGTAGAAAAAGGGGATTCGCTAGGAGCGTTTCTTTTGTTTTGAGAACAATGAGCGTAAATATTCATACAATGCGCTCTAATAGGATTTATGTTGTAGCTAATGAACTTACGCATTAGAACAAACCTGTTTTTGATTTGTGCACGGTGAAATCATTGATATTATTGATCTTTTCTGATCGATAGAACGGAAATGGGCGATTACGACGAAGTAGTGCTCTACACTATGCTTAAAACTGACTCCATGTTTATGCTATGCAAAATGGAGTTAAATTTGCTAACAATATAGTAATGACTTTGAAATTTAGTAATGGATTTTAAATCATTACATATTTTGAATTGGAATGCTCAATCTCTTAGCGATAATGAGGACGAGCTGTTTAATTTTTTGAGAGTTCATAACGTGCATATTGCCGTTATAACTGAAACGTTAATTAAAGCTAACCATGCCCGAGCAACACAAATTCATAGAATTATGTTGAGTAAACTGCTATACAACCAAAACCAGTCGTTCAAATGTTATACAAAAAGTTATGGAACATGTGTGTTGCATGGGTAAGGTTAAAAGGGACGCAAATTATTTCATTTATTGAAATGATCGTCTTGATAAAGCCGTTGGTGGCGTTGCCATCATTGTTCATAGACGTAGGTATCAAACATTAAATTCTTAGTTCGTTAGAAACCAAAGTTTTTGAAACTTTTGGAGATTCTGTCGAAACAAAATTTTAACAACTTATTTTTATAGCTGCCTATTTGCCATTCCAATGCGTAGGCCAGCAAAAGAATTTTCTCAAGGGTGACCTTCAGAAAATTACTCGTCATAGGTCTAAATTCTTCATTATTGGTGATTTTAATGCAAAACACCGCTCATGGAATAATGGTCAAAGCAATTCCAATCGTTATAATCTGTTTGATGGTTGTTTTGTAGGTTATTACACTATTCAATATCCAAACAGCCCAACATGCTTTTCTTCAGAATGTATTTCTTACTTTTCTATACAGATAGGGTTAATGACGTCTTCGGCAATACCTTTACCTATTATAGTCAGATCCTTGAGCGCTCAGTTTTGCATGAGGATAGGGTAAGGTTGGTTAAGGTGGGTCATCTACTTGATGTTTGTTTGACAACATCAACAGGCTCAATTGTAGAATTCAACCTGTTGATATTGACAAACAAATTAATAAATGTAGGTACTAGCCGACCCAGTTTGCACCACCTATACTCTTCATGTTTTCGTCATGACGTTTGTCAGAAAACTAGCAGACCCAATCTTGATACCCGATCCAGGTTGGAACTGAATAATAAACGAATTCGCTATTAGATATGCATGTTTCACCGCTAGACAGGATACCTAATTTGTTTTTGTTTTCTCACATATGAACTGGTGCAACGGGTGAAGATCACAATAGACAATACAGTTTTTTATTGGGAAAGTTTAATCCTGCCCTGAGAGATATAAACAGTGTTGTTTCTTTGAAAGTAAAAACAAATGATGCAGAAAATGACATTTTTTTACAACAATTTCTTGCGATTCCCTAGAGGTTCAAAGTTTAGAACATATGTACCTATAAACCTATCACAATCTCAAAACGACTTTCCCCGGACAATCTGCCGGAACCAAAGCCACGAGGTGAAGCCAGATAAGCTGAACCAGGTGAAAATGTACGACAGATGTTCGTTTCGCATCGTCACACGGGTCTGTCCACCCACCGGCCCCTGCGGTACTGTTGATGCCGCAGTTGCATCAAGAAAGTAGGGTTCCGTTTCGCAAATTTGCGACATTTTGGGTACATCTCGAAACATGAAAATCGCTCCTCGTTGAGTTGGGGTAAATTGAGGACGGTTCTCCGGCAGGCGTACCACTCCTTCCAGTTCAACAGTTCCTTTGATCTGACCTTCCTGACGCGTAGCCGGGTTTAGGAACCGCTTCGGAACCCAGCCACGGTTAATGAGAATTTTATCTCTGAAATAAGAGGAACGAAATGATTCGATTTAAATTGAAGGTTGTTCAATACATACTCTCTGCCTTCCAATTTAAATGGTGTGATAACCAGGTAACCAATTGTAGTTTCTTTTTGTGAGAACAGCCCTCCAGCGGTCTTGGAATCTCCGTCTTGTATAAGGGCCCGAGGTCCTAGGTGAAGTTCTTGATCATGGATGAATTCTCCCCTAACGGTCACTTTCTGATATTCCATTTGCTCGAGTTCACTCAAACTGTTCCAATTCAAAATGAGAACCAAATTAATAGGTATATTTAAAGTGTACTTATCTAAAAACAGTACTCGTCAGGAAGCGGCACCGGTTCCATGCGCATCCGTGTCGCGAGCGTCCGGATAAGATTTTCTTTCCATTGTTTCCGATACACTTGCCAACAACCCAGTCCGAAAGTGGTTGCTGGAATGGCCTATGAATAATACCCAGTAATTGCAAAATAATTCGGATGTTAATTCAGTCTATTTCAAATCTTACCAACAGCATCCAACCGAAAGGAGAAATAGGTTGATTCCCACCACTACGCGTCATCACAGGTGGAGGAACCCGCATTCGTTTCTGGTGCGCTTGCCGGCATGGATGAACACGGTTCGGCAGTCGAGACGATCGGATGGTAGTGAGCACTTCACTTTGAATGAACCGAAACATTTTCCACTATTACTTTTCTACTACAGGTATCGGTTATAGATTTCACAACACTAAAGAAGTATTTATATTTATGAATCAAATGATCACATAACATCAGATGTTATTCTTCTATCACAAACCGGTGTTTTGGTTTGATTTGACGTTTCTACACCTATTCGTATGTATGCAGAAGAGTTTTGAGCCGATAGCAGTATCATCCCTCGCAATGGTTCGAAGGCAAGTAAATATTATTTTTCGTTGAGATGGGCTTCTAGAATAGTTTTATGGTTTTGATTCAAAGTTTGAGAGGATTCCATGCAATCTTTATTGTTTTTTAAACGTTGTGAATGGTAGATGATCTTAGTTTTTCGTTAAACATCTGAGTACCAATTTCGGCACGTTTAAGGCAATGTTAAAGTTGAAAATAAAAATCGCAGGAAAACCCCAATAATTTATTTGTTTTATGTATTTTAGTCTACTATACTACCTATATGTATGAACGGCAAAAAATGAAAACTTAATTCAGTCACATACATCAATTACCGCTCACATTTTGATGAGGTGTTCCAGTTGACGCTCATTTGTTGAACGGTTAGCGTGTTCTGTAACATAGTAATTATATTAACGTAACGTTATCGATGCAATTGTCCTTTTATTAGTTTTTTTCTAAACTTGTATTTAGTCTGCTGCAAATAACACGAAGACTTCTTCCTTTAGCGGAAATGCTGTATCATAACTGATGACACATCAGCGAACAAACATTTGTGATAAAACAAAAAAAAAAAAATTATCTTCCATTTAATTCTACTTAATTAATTTTGGTATCTATGACAGATACGTATTTCGACTACAATGTGCAGTCTTCATCAGTGTCATCCCCACAAATGGATACCAAAGTTAATTAAGTGGAATTAAATGGAAGATAACCTTTTTTGTTGTTTTATTTAAGCATTCCGCTAACAACCCCAAATCTTTACTTTCTTTACTTTACTTTATATTTCTGTTTAAATTAGAATTAAGTAAAATAGGGAAAATGGATGTAATGTCGGCCTAAATGCCCCTAATTTGGGCCCATACATAAATTCAGCAATCGACTAAATTTACAATAGCGACCAAAACTATCCATTAGTACCGTCCCAATGAAAATAGGCCAACATTAGAGCCATTTCCCCTAGTAGTTTTATTTTCGGATATGTGTCATCTTATACGAGATGGAATAAATGATTTTCGATTTTTGTAACATAAAATAAAAAAATGTAAGTTGGGGGAGGTTGTTCATTGAAACTTCCGGTCCGCTTCGTAGCATAGTGCTTGCTAAGAGGTGCCAGGTGGTAGCCCACTGATTACCTGACGATCAGCCAAATTTGCAAGACGTCTGCATTGAATTGTCTCACATTGTAATATTCCGCCCACTATATCACAATCAATTGCGAGTAGCTGAGCGGAATGGAGACAAGGAAAGCATTTGGTACAGGACCAAGTCTCTCCCGGCTGGTGCCAAAACAATGAACCTTCAAGCAACTGGATCAAGTTGTCATGGGGCACGAAATGATCCTGTTGCATGACTTGGAGCTGTTGCAATCGAGGAAGGGGGGGGGGGGGGTTGGTGCTAATGTTTAATTTGTTTTTGTATAATTTCAGGTGTTAAGGTGCTTCGATGCCTCTGGATAGTGGGTTTGACGGTGTTTCAGCAAGAATAATATTGAGACATACGGAAATGCAACAAACGTTTCAAATTAACTGCATTGGTAACGAAAACACAGAGGAGCATACACCTGATGTCACACACTAAGGTGATGGTAATAAGGTCGGTGATAATATGACATTTACACAAAAGCGGAGAACAAATCAGATTGGTCAACGTACCAAAATTCGAAACTTCGATTAAAACGTGGAATCTGTGCAGCACCAGTGGAGAACACTCAAAAGCTGCAGGTCTCATCAACCGCTGCCTGCGGTATATAACTTGTGGCTGGTGGCCTCACAAATGGATCTCAGATGTAAATGTCATCAGAAGCCGATAGCAATAGAAACAAAGTCTGCAGGCAAGCGTTTGATTATGAATTAAATCCGCCAGAACATCGCAGCAAAGGCAAATCAAATACTAAGGCGGCGGAGCGTCAAAGGAAATTAAGCAAGCCGATAGGAATTTGACCTGGGCCCAGGTCAAGCAGCTGCCCAGAATGGAAGTCTTTCACGTTGGCCCTGTGCACCTCTGGAGGTTCCCAGGTATTTGAGTAAGACGACGATGGACGTTGCCCCTTGGAACGGAATGAAAGCGAACACACCTGATGTTGCACAACAAGCCGGCGTGTTTTTTTTTTTCAGCAAAACAACAAAATTTTCTATCCCTCTTCTTTATTCTTTTAATCTCTTACTATCCCCTAATCGGCCGCTAGTTATTGTTATTGTTATTATTGTTATTGTGTCATGCTGGAGGGGGCATTGAGTCTGGTCGCCAGTGTAATTTTGGTGACCATTTATACACCTTCCATGCAGCAATCAGATAGATAAAGATGAGATGGCTCTTAGATAATGACTTATGCAGGGCTGGTAGCAGGTCACTTTTTAGTGACTTAGTCACTATTTTGAAGTCAGTCACTAAAAAGTCACTTTTCACACCAAAAAGTCACTAAAGCCACTATTTCCCTAAAAATAGTCACTAAAGTAACTTTTTCACAACTAAAATAGAGTGAAAATGAATTCTGGGAATGACACCAAGACATTTCAGAGAAGAATACCAAAGTACAGACTACGTACTCATGTAAAATTAAGTGCTCTGAGGACCGATTTCTTTGCCCCCGCTGAAATCTTAAACCAGGTTTATCCATATAGTTAAACCTGGTTGAAGGCTTAAGCGGAGGTGAAAAACCCAGTCCTAAGACTATACGAGTGTTGCTTTTGATTATTGTTTAAATTATTAAAGATGCAAAATTCAGCTCCGAAACAATTCTGGAAATAATTCCAATATAATTGAGAGGATTCTATGATGATTGGATGAGGCTTCTAGGTCCAATTCTAATAAGAATTCAAAACTAGTTCTCCAAAGATGATCGCTGCGGATAGTTATAAAAGAATTCTGAAATGATTTCTGATGATACTTTCAAGGCGAAATAAATTCCGAGAAGAATTCCGATGGAATCGGCTTTTGAGGGTTCAATCTCAAAGGAATTCTTCGAAGAGTTTCTGAGATGTATCTTTGTTTTGAGAATTCTGAGGAAATACCATGGAAATTCGGTGGAGAATACGAATTGAATTTCCAATAGAATTCAGGTGAGAAGTTCACGATTATTCTAAGCAGAAATTTAACGCTCAACCAGTAACATTTAAAAAAACTCCGGGAAAATCCGGAAATTGCTATTTGCTGGTCATCATGTATAACATATTCAAAAGGAAATTATTCAAATCACTTCAAGTGCTCTTTATAGGAAATTCCGTTGAGAGTTTCGATATAATTAGAGGAATTGATGAAATGTCATTTTAGGTTTCATGATAAAACAGTTTATTCCAATATTAAACCTTATTTGAGTTTCGGATCATCATATAAATGTCACTATTTGTTACTTATTTATTATTTAAAAGTCACTATTTGGTCACTATTTCCGTAATTTTAGTCACTAAAGTCACTACTATTATATCGCATCATCACTACCAGCCCTGCTTATGCGAGTCGATTGAAATCAGCCGAATATTGAATGAGGGTTTAGGTGATCCTTAACATAGAAGCGTAGATGCATAGATGAAGAATAAGAGAAAGGAGAGAAAAAGGATTTTTTTTCCTTTGGTTTGTTTTTTCCGTCGATCTTGTTTTCCGTGCTGAGCACCAATGCTACCGACGTGCCAGGAAGGCAGCTCCCACACCTGGACCCTACCTATCGACCCATCAACTCATGAACCAGGGACCAACGGCTTTACTTCCCATCCGAAGGAAGGCGTGATCAGAGATGTTATGCCTCAGAACATCCCGGCGGCGCCGACTGGGATTGAACCCAGGCCTGCTGGGGTGAGAGGTAATCACGCTTACCACTACACCACCGGCGCCGTTAGAAAAAGGTATTGAAAAACAGAATTGGTAGAGAATGAGTGCTGATGAATATGCATTTATGTTTCATTTAGTTATAATGATTATCAATAATACTTACAGTCTGATGATGATGTTGCCTGTTGCCTGCCTACTTTACCTGTTATGTGATACTTATCATCACAGAGTCCAACCTTGAATCGCAGACCAGGTCCACTAACAAAACACTCGTTCCGAGAATGGGTTTATGGTCTTATTCTTCTTCTTCAGTTTCGCTCACCACCCGGAATGAAGGCTCGGTACGGTTAGTAATATCAAACAGTGTTACATGCAAACCAAAAAACGAAAAAGAGATACAACCAGGATTAGTTTTTTAAAGTAATAGTTTCATCTGAATACCCAACTAACCATATCTCAGTGACATTGTACCACTCTGAACCCACACCTAAAGCTATTTTGTGATTATATGGTTACTTTGGTATTCACATGATATGTTGTGCAAGTACCAGAAGTTCAACAACGCCCAACTATGGACAGCTCAATGTTAATACCATTTACTCTTTGAATCAGCTTACACCAACATGATAATCTACTAAGAAACATCTAAGAATGTATAGAGATAAAGTTCAAAAATACAGTTTTAACTGATGGTACTTTATAAACGTCAAACTGTCCAATATTGGACCCTGCCAACACACGGCGCCTGCACGGCAATGTGGGTCGTCAGAATGGTTCATCGGTTGCGAAGTGAAGTGATTCTTAAACTGAAGCGATACATTTCTCAATGTTTCAACGTTATCCTAACGTAAACTTAATATTATCACCCATATGCCTGTCCACGCCCGAAACCCATCCACCACACAAAATCAAATAAAAATGTTTCTGTATGGCAAACACGTCCAGACATAAACGAGAATATGGGTGTATATCTTCACTGTAACAACTACGGGTAATCATCGAAAATACTTGCATTTTACTCAGGCACTTTTGAGCAAACTGCAATCACTCTCTCATACTCGAAATGTGCCACGACCAAATTGGCACAACGACG